GGCAAGTAAGTACTCTACCAACTGAGCCCAGCCTTAGGTAATTTTTGAGAAAGGGTCTCACTATATATCCACGCTGGCCTGGAGTCAGCATTCTTTCTGCTTTAGCCTCCCAAATGCTAAGGTTACAGACATGCTCCACCTTGCCTAGACTAAAAAGAGATTAAAAATTTTTCTTTTCTTTTTTTTTTTTTTTTTAAAGTTTGAGAAGGTTTCAGGCAGCCCTGCAACTGGCAGTTGCCACCCCCCTTGGCTGCTCACTGCAAGGGTGACAGGTGTGTTTTCATTGGGTTAATAATGTTCATTTGTAGTTTGACCTTGAACAATGAGGAACTTAATGTTCTGGTCACTTCTTAGAAAAGGTGATTCAGTTCTGTGGTTGTCATTGTGCACATGTCACAGTTTCTTACCAATAGCTTGATGTGGCCAAATGGAATGAGGTTGGGTAACTTATACTGCCAGTATCAGACAGATAAAAACACTTTTTAGTTAATAATTTATGCCCATAAGTATTAACATGTAGGTGTAAAGAAGCTGTAAGTAGAAGCTGTACATGTGACTTTAAGTAAAGTCTCTTGGCAGGAAGAGAAGAAAGACAAGAAATAAGAGCATCCATCTGACACTTTGCTCAGATAGGACATTGCTTTAGCATGGTGTGTTTCTTTCTAGTTCTCCCAGGACTGACTTACTAATCTTTTTTTAAGGAACTAGACACACACACACACACACACACACACATACACATACATACACACACACACACATACATACACACACACGCACACGCGCACACACACACACACACACACACACACACACACACACACACACACACTGGACTGACCTCTCTGTGTGCTGACTAGTCTTATCTGTCAGCCTCATAGAGTCTAGAATTACCTGAGGGTATGCCTGTGGGGTTACCTTGATTGCATTCATTGATGTGGAAAAACCCGTTTTAATTATGGGTGGGACCAGCCCTAGCCAGAGGATCATAGTCTACATAAAATGGAGAAAGCCAGCTGAATATTAGCAAGCATTTTTTTCTCTCTGGCTGCTTCCTGGCTGTGGCTGGAATATGATCAGGCTTCTTCAAGCTCCTGATCTTGACTCCCCTCAGTGATGAACTGTCCCTTTGGATTATGAGCACTAATAAACCTTTTCTACTTTTGTGCTTTTGTCATTATTTTATCACAGAATTCAAAAAAGGAACTAAAATATTCTACTAAAAATAAAGGTGTTACATGGAGTGGGTCCCTTGTTTGTTCCAGCTGCCCAGCTAGCTTACACCCAAAATAACCATACAGAAACTGTATTAATTAAAACACTGCTTAGCCCATTAGCTCTAGTTTCTTATTGGCTAATTCTTAGATCTTAATTTAACACATTTCTATTAATCTGTGTATCGCCATGTGACTGTGGCTTACTGGCAAGATTCTAACCAGGTTCGTCTCAGGCAGATCCATGGCGTCTGCCACTCTGCCCTTCTTCCCAGCATTCAGTTTGTCTACTCCACCTACCTAAGTTCTGTCCTATCAGGCCAAAGCAGTTTCTTTATTCAACCAATGAAAGCAATACATGAACAGAAGAACCTCCTACACCAGTGATGATCTTGATTAGCTGAATCTCAGTAAAGATCCAATCGCCATTGTGGTGCTATGTGTCTAAGGAAAGGGGGAGACTAACGTAAGTGGGAAAGTAACTGTAAACAAAGACTCCTTTTTTATTTTCCGGCCACCCAGACCCAAATAATCACACGAAAACTATATTATCTACAACACTGTTTGACCAATAGCTCAGGCATATTCCTAGCCAGCTCTTATATCTTAAATTAACCCATTTTTTATTAGTCTGTGTATTATCACGAGGCCGTGATTTATACCGGTATGGTTCTGGTGTCTTTCTCCTTTGGCAGCTACATGGTGTCTGCCTTACTCCGTCTTATTTCTCCTTGCATTCAGTTTAGTTTTCCCACCTATGTATATTTTGCCCTGCTATAGGCTAAAGCAGCTTCTTTATTAACCAGTGGCAATAAAACATATTTACAGCATTCAGATAGGAATCCCACATCAAGTCACTTCTTATAGAAACATCTTTATTCTTTTTTTAATATTTATTTATTTATTCATTATATATACAATATTCTGTCTGTGTGTATGCCTGCAGGCCAGAAAACGGCACCAGACCTCATTACAGATGGTTGTGAGCCACCATGTGGTTGCTGGGAATTGAACTCAGGACCTTTGGAAGAGCAGGCAATGCTCTTAACTGCTGAGCCATCTCTCCAGCCCGACATCTTTATTCTTTTTTTTAAAAAATATTTTATTTATTTATTATGTATACAATATTCTGTCTGTGTGTATGTCTGCAGGCCAGAAGAGGGCACCAGACCCCATTCCAGATGGTTGTGAGCCACCATGTGGTTGCTGGGAATTGAACTCAGGACCTTTGGAAGAGCAGGCAATGCTCTTAACCTCTGAGCCATCTCTCCAGCCCCAGCATCTTTATTCTTTAAAAAAATTTTTTTCTCCTTTCAGAGCTTTATTTTGTTTGTGTGAATGTACATGTACTATATGTGTGTGGTGCCCACAGAGGTCAGAAGAAAGCATCTGATATCCAGGAACTGGAGTTATAGACAGTTGTGAACCACCATATGGATGCTGGGAACTCAACCCTGCTCCTCTGGAAGAACAGCCAGTGCTCTCAACCACTGAGCCATCTCTCCAGCCTCAAACCTTCAACATTTTTGTTACTAATCATTTCTTTAAACAGCAGTTGTAGGTTTGAGTCATGTAGTTCAGTAGTGCTTGCTAGGCACACATAAGGCCCTGGGTTTGATCACTAGCACTGCAAATGAGTTAATAAAAAAATGTTCAAAAACAGTTATTAAGCCAGGTGGAGTGATGTACCCCAGTAGTTCTTACTGCTCTTGAGGCCCAGGCTGGAGGACCAGGAGTTCAAGGTCAGTCTGGGCAACATAGCTAGACTCCTGCCCCACATACAATAAGAAGTTGTAAATATGGGCTGGAGATGGCTCAGAGGTTAAGAGCACTGACTACTCTCTCAGAGGTCCTGAGTTCAATTCCCAGCAACCACATGGTGGCTCACAGCCATCCATGATGAGATCTGATGCCTGCTTCTGCCATGTAGGCATGCATGGAGGCAGAATATTGTATATATGATAAATAAATAAATCTTTAAACCTTTTAAAATGTAATATGAAAAAGTAGGTAAAGGTGGAGGCTGGCTAGATAACAGGACAGATGGAAGGTTGGGCTGGAAAGTGCCAGAAGTCTGAAAAGTAATACTATTCAGATTACAGAGACCCTTAACTATAAGACTGACAGTGTGGTCCTCCACATATTTATGATAAACCTTATACAATGAAGGTTTAAAAAAAAAACCATAAACAGTAAAAGTTCAGCTTTACTATGTTGTAAAGAGTGGCCGCTTGTTGGTTCCCGGCTGCTCAGCCCTGAAATAATCACACAGAAACTCTATTAATTAACTCACTGCTTGGCCCATTAGCTCTATCTTCTTATTGGCTAACTCTTACATCTTAATTTAACCCATCTCCATTAATCTGTGTATCGCCACATGGCTGTGGTTTACCAGCTAAAGTCTCATTCAGCATGTCTGTCTCTGGCAGCAGCTCTATGGCTTCTCTCTGCTTCTACCTCTTTTCTCCCAGCATTTAGTTTAGTTTTCCCTGTCTACCTAAGTTCTATCCTATCAGCAGACCAAAGCTCTGAGCCATCTTTTTAGCCCCTATTTTTCTCATTCAGAAAAATGAGTTTAGATCTAGTGCATCAGTTCAAGATAAGAAATGTTAGAATTTGTAGAGTAGGGGCTGGAGAGATGGCTCAGTGGTTAAGAGCATTGCCTGCTCTTCCAAAGGTCCGGAGTTCAATTCCCAGCAACCACATGGTGGCTCACAACCATCTGTAATGAGATCTGGTGCCATCTTCTGGCCTGCAGACATACATACAGATAGACTATTGTATACATAAAAAATAAATATTTTTTAAAAAAAATTTGTGGAGTAGGGCAAGTTCAGTAAAGAAGTGTGGCTTAAATAGTTCTTGACTCTGGAATTGTTTTTACTCGTTTTGTTTTTTGAGACATGATCTCTCTATACAGCCTTAGCTGTCCTGGAACTCACAATGTAGACCAGGATAGCCTCAACATCACAGAGCTCTACCTGCCCCAGCCTCTGGAATGCTGGAATGGGATTCAGGACTCTTCTCGGGTGTCGATTTAAGCTTTATTAAATAAAAGGTCATATTTGGTGGCAAATACCTACGGTGGCAGCACTTGGGAGGTGGAAGTGGGGGGGCAGATGTGGGATCAAGGCTAACTTCAGCTACTTAGTCTGAGGCCACCTTAGGCTACATTTTGAGAAAAATGTCTCAGGACTTCAGCAGTCACAGTGGTACTGCTACTTTGAAACTTTGGGTTTTTTTGTTTGTTTTATTTTTTGTTTTTGTTTTTGGACAAGGCCTCACACTGTAAGTCAAGTGGTCCCAGAACTGCCATGTAGCCCAGGCTGGTCTCATTCATGTCGTACTACCCAAGTGCTAGAATTGTAGCCCAGGACACTGTGCTGGTTACTTGAAAGTTTTAAGAAAGTTTTCCCTCACATTTATTTGATAGTTTAATGGTATGGAACTTTTTTTTTCTTCCTTAGATTTGTTTGTTTGTTTGCTTATGGGGTGGTCTCCCAACCAAGGTAGACCTCTAACTCAGTAAATAGCCTGCTGACGATGGACGTTTACCCTTCCCCGACTCTACCTCCTGCGTGCTAGGATTATAAGCCTGAGTCTCCACGCCTTGTTTCATGCAGTGCTGGGATTGCACCCTGGCTTTGCACATGTTAGACAGGCATTCTACCAACTGAGCTACGCACCCATTTGGACTGTTTGAAACTTTTAAATTAATAGCTACGATCATTTACTTGCCTGAGTGAGAATAATAGTGGATCTGATTTCTTCTCTTTGTTCCTACAGCTATACTACCAAGTCCTAAATTTTGGAATGATTGTCTCCTCGGCACTAATGATCTGGAAGGGGCTAATGGTGATAACCGGAAGTGAGAGTCCAATTGTAGTGGTGCTCAGGTAACTGCTCCTTTTCAAGACATGAAGTGCATGGGATTACTTGGGAGAAAAATAGAGGTATTAAGTCAATAGTTGTATACCAGTTCCTTAGAAACTGTTACCTAGGAGAGAGCCCAGAAGGAAGTCCGCTTCTACTCAGTTGTGAGAAATACCATGGGAGGTATTTCCATTCTGAACCCCAAAGGACCCATATCCTTAATTGTATGTATGTATAGGTGAGGAGTTCACATGTGACTCCGGTTGCCCTTGGAGGCCAGAAGACAAACAGTGGTTCAGAGCTGCCCTACGTGAGTATCAGAGTCAGATCCTCTGAGAGCAGGGTGTGCCCTGAACAACGGAGCTGTCTCTCCAGCCACCACTCCAAATCTAGGATCGTTTCTACTCAAGGCTGCTGTGTGCTGAATGTGCTGGCTCCTTCCTGCCTGTAATCCCAGTGCTCAGGAATCAGTTGGATCAGGAGTTCAAGGCCAGTCTTAGCTTTATATGGAGTTCAAGGGGCAACTGGGCTACTTGGGACCGCTGTCTTAACGACACCAAAAAAGGTTGCTATGTGAACCTTATTTTTGGTTCATCCCTTAAGAAAGTGTACTTTATCCTTCTGTCTTTTTGCATTCCTTAGTTTGGTGTATCAGGCCTGGAACTTAGTTTGTTAGGTGTACAGTGTCTCCACTAAAGAGTTTTCCTGCGTCATGTATTCAAGTGCTAGCAGCAGCACTAATTACTTCCATATTTTCTGTTGACCTTTAAGTATCATTCCTAAGCTAGACTCCAGGAATTTTGAAGGTAATAATACCATCTCTTCAGACAAGTGTACTAAATTGTTTTTCACTTCATTTCCTTTCTTGTCTTTGCACTCATAAATAAATCTTACTGATTTTAAAACCTAATTTAGCAACTTTTTTTTTTTTTGGAAATTACTGTGTGGTTATTTAATTGAATCATTATAGTTCTGTCTCATTTGGGTACTTGGTTTGTTACCTAAGTCCTTTCTGGAGCTGATAGAGTACAAAGGGAATGGAGCCATGCCCAGTATCCAGAGTTGTTCTTAGTGCTTTAGTGAGGTCTGACCAGTGCACAGCAAGCAGTAGATTTTACGGTACAGAGCTTGATGACATTGGTAGTATATGTCTTCAAGTCCACCACCATCACTACCAAAAGTGTGCCTGGCGTTTTCAGAAGGCTCCCCATTCTCTCTCTCTCTTTCTTCTCTCTCTATGGTAAGAATGTTAGAATGTTTGCTTTTATTCTTGTTCTCTCTTTCTTTTTAGACAGTTTTGCCCATGCTGGCGTTGAATTCATGATTCTCCTGCTTAAGACTTCCCAAGTGCTGAGATTATAGGTGCATCTCAACCGTATCAGCTACTGTTGGCAGAGATTCCGCGTTCATTTCCTGGCCATCCAGAACTAAATAATCACACAGAAACTATATTAATCACAACAGTGTTTGGCCTGTTAGCTCAGACTTCTTATTAACTAACTCTTACATCTTAAATTAACCCATTTCTATTAATCTGTGTATCGCCACGAGGTTGTGGCCTACTGGTAAAGTTCTGGCTGGCAGCTGGTGGCTTTCTCCTTTGCCAGCTACATGGTGTCTCCTTGACTCTGCCTATTCTCTTTTTATATCTCTTCCAGCCTGACTATATTCTGCCCTGGTATAGGCCAAAGCAGCTTCTTTTATTAACCAATGATAGTAAAACATATTCACAGCATACAGAGGGGAATCCAACATCAAGCTACCATCATTTTTTTTTTTAAACCAAGTTTCCTAGTCCAATTCTCCATTTATTCCAGTTATTCTGATGACTGTCCCTTAACACCTCTGCTAAGGAGAACTAAATTGGAAATAGCCCCAGAAGAAGTCTCCCAAAGGAATTTACATGACCTAAGCCCTGTGCTTCCTGTCAGTAGTGTGGTGTCCTTCCTTAGTGCTAGATGGTAGCACCAATTGAAGCTGTCTACTTCAAGGTTGGAATGTGAGACCAGGGGTTGGGGGGGTGGGTAGTAATACTCTGAACAGATGTTTTCAGTGTTAGGGAAAAGCCTAGGGACCTCCCTGTGTGCCAGGCGATTGCTCTACCCCTGAGTGATCTCCAGCAAAATTAAGGCAGTACTTTTTGGTTTGGGTTTTTGAGATAATGTCTCACACTATTTGAGGCAAGGTCTTGCTGTGTAGCCCTGTATAGCCTGGAACTCACTATGTAAACTAGGCTGACCTTAAACTTGGAGTGATCTTTGATCTTCCTGCCTGTGGACATCGTCCCTGGCTAAGCCGTTTGTTTTTAACAGCTCTATAAAGGCAGAATAAATTAGCTTGGAGCTGGATGTGCAGGGCACGCATGTAATCCATACTCAGAAGGTAGAGGATCTTTGCAGGTTTAAAGCTGGTCAGGTCTTTCTATACATTTAGTGCCAAGCCCTGTCTCAGGGAAGAAAAGAGTTTGCCTATAACCTGAAATCTCAGTTAATATAATAAATCATGTAAGAATATTTATTTTTATTCCCAGAATCCACCAACTTCACCAAAGCCCTAAAGGTAAACTGTCAGTTGACCTGAGTCCTCCTAGGCATATCTGATCACAGGTAGACATTAAAGTCCTTGAAGTCCAGTACCTCCACTGAAGAGAATGACATCGGAAGTGACCCAGAAGCAGCTCTCTTCTAGTTGTGACGAGAATCCCCTCGGTGTTGGATTGTTTTTTTCTGAAGCTCTCCTCCTTTCAGACTGTTTTGTTTTTGTTTGTTTTGGGCCAGGTCTTGCTGCATAGCTCAGGCTAGGCACAGACTCATAGCTTCCCTGCTCCCATTGCTATTTTCTTTCTTTCTTTTTGGGTGGGGGGCAGTTTTGTCTTTTTTCAAGACAGGGTTTTGACTCTTACCTCTACCTCAGTCTGAAATGCAGATCCTGCCTACTGGAATCTCAGAGTGAGACTGTGTCTGAGAGCTGTCTCCTCCCATCTTATATTCCTCTCTAGGGCTGGGATTAAAGGTGTGCACCACTGCTGCCTGGTTTCTATCGCAAACTAGTGTTGCTGCTAGGATTAAAGGTGTGTGTCACCACTGCCTGGTCTGTAAAGCTTACTAATGTGGCTGTTTTACTCTGATCTTCAAGAAAGCTTTATTTATTAAAATACAAATGAAATGCCACTACACTTCTCACCCTCTCTCAAGCGCTGGGATTCTAGGCATCTGCCAGCACATCTAGTAGTGTTGGATATAGATGGAAGTTTCTTTTTTTTTTTTTTTATTTATTAAAGATTTCTGACTCTTCCCCGCCACTGCCTCCCATTTCCCTCCCCCTTCCCCCAATCAAGTCCCCCTCTGTCATTAGCCCAAAGAGCAATCAAGTTTCCCTGCCCTGTGGGAAGTCCAAATACCACCCACCTCCATCCACGTCTAGTAAGGTGAGCATCCAAACTGCCTAGGCTCCCACAAAGCCAGTACGTGCAGTAGGATCAAAAACCCATTGCTATTGTTCTTGAGTTCTCAGTAGTCCTCATTGTCCACTATGTTCAGCAAGTCCGGTTTTATCCCAGGCTTTTTCAGATCCAGGCCAGCTGGCCTTGGTGAGTTCCCGATAGAACATCCCCATTGTCTCAGTGTGTGGGTACACCCCTCGTGGTCCTGAGTTCCTTGCTCGTGCTCTCTCTCCTTCTGCTCCTGATTTGGACCTTGAGATTTCTGTCCGGTGCTCCAATGTGGGTCTCTGTCTCTGTCTTCTTTCATCACCTGATGAAGGTTAATATTCAGGAGGATGCCTATATGTTTTTCTTTGGGTTCTCCTTATTTAGCTTCTCTAGGATCACTAATTACAGGCTCAATGTCCTTTGTTTATGGCTAGAAACCAAATATGAGTGAGTACATCCCATGTTCCTCTTTTTGGGTCTGGCTTATAGATGGAAGTTTCTGTCCTGCCCTGTCCCACAGCCATTCAGTCCCAACAAAACACACAGAGGCTTATATTAACTATAAACTGGTTAGTTCAGGCTTATTATTAACTAGCTCTTACAACTTAAATTAACCCATGATTCTTATCTATGTTTAGCCATGTGACTTGGTACCTTACTCAGTGAGACAGTCTCATCTTGCTTCCTCTGCCTCTGGCTGGTGACTGCAGACTGAGCCTTTTTCCAGAATTCTCCTAATTTGGTCACCCCACCTATACTTCCTACCTGGCTACTGACCAATCAGCAGTTTTTTGTTTGTTTGTTTGTTTTTGTTTGTTTTGTTTTTCGAGACAGGGTTTGGAGCTTTGGAGCCTGTCCTGGAACTAGCTCTTGTAGACCTGGGTGACCTCAAACTCACAGAGATCCGCCTGCCTCTGCCTCCCAAGTGCTGGGATTAAAGGCATGTGCCACCACTGCCAGGCCCAATCAGCGTTTTATTAAATCAGTACAAGTGACAATCTTTACAGGGTACAAGAACATCATCCCGCAGCAGCTGGGGATTGAACTCGGGGCTTTTGCTTGCTAGGCAGGCACCCTTTTCAATAAGTCTGAGTCCCAGACCCCAATATATAAATATTTTGTTACATTTTATTATTTGTGTATGTGTGTAGATGCACATGTAGATGTCAGAGGATAACTGTAGGCATCGATTCTTTCCATCCTGTGAATACCAGGGATTGCACTCAGATCATCAGACTTGGCCACACAAGCCATTTCTCAAGTACCAATATATTCATTTTTTAATGTATCAGTTAAAAAACTAAAAATGTAGTTGAATATGGTAGCTCATTCCTGACATTCAAGCATCTGGGATGTGGAAGCAAGAGTATCACTGTGAGTTTGATGCCAACCCGGGCTGCGTAATTCCAGCCATATAGTTGTTACCATGCCTCTTCTGGCCTCTGAAGGCAGAGGTCATATGTGCATGCTTGTGTATAAAACACCCATACATCTTTTGTTCATTTGTTTTTTTGAATGTGTGGCAGTGCATACCTTTGATCTAGGACTCAGAAGGCAGAGGCAGAAAGATCAGATGTTCAAGGCCATCTTCTGCTATACCTCCAGTTCAAGGCCAACCATGGAAACATAAAATCCTGCTTCATTTTAAAAGGAGAGAGGGAAGCACGTTTGACATATTGAAAGTGTAATTTAGCCTGGTAGTAGTGTCACATGTTTTTGATCCCAGCACTCAGGAGGCAGAGGCAGGTGGATCTCTGTGAGTTTGAGGCCAGCCAGGTCTACAGAGTGAATTTCAGGACAGCCAGGGCTGTTAAACAGAGAAACCCTGTCTTGATAAACAAAACAAACAAGCAAACTAGAAAGGTGTGATTTAATCAGATATCAGAGTTACTCATAATTCACTTAATGATTTACTGTTTAAATAATCTTCCTCAGTTTTATTTTTTTAATCACCCTTGTAAGATGGGGGTGTAGTTCAGTGATGAAATGCTTACTTAGCATGAGAAAGGCCTGGGTTTCACTCTCCAGCACAAATAGTAACAGAATAATAATAATAGTGATAATAACAACATGTTTAAATGATCTCACTATGTACTCCCCCCTGTCCCCAAGACAGGGTTTCTCTGCGTAGCCCTTGTTTTCTTTGTTATTATTTTTAAATTTTATTGTTTTATGTGTATTTTGCTTGCATGCATGTATGTGCACCATTTGTATGCTTGGTGCCTGTGGAGGTCAGAAGAGGGCATCAAATCCCCTGGAACTAGAGTTAGAGAGGTTGTGAGCTGTCTTGTGGGTGCTGGGAATTGAACTCAGGTCTTCTGGAAGAGCTGCTCCTAAGTGCCGGTCTCTTTGGCACAGGGACATTTTTATATGAGGTGTACAAGCACATTCACTCTGTGCCTTAAAAAGGTAAAACCCTCTACACATACTTGATATGTCTTATTTATTTATTTATTTATTTATTTATTTATTTATTTTGGTTTGGGGGCACAGTCTTGGCATGTGGTGCAAGCTGGCATTGAGCACCTCCCAGGTGCTGGTATCATAAGCATCTCCACCACTTCTGGCTACTTACATGTGAATTCCAAAAGCTTTTGTTTATTTCATTCCACGGGACAGCTTCACCTGACTACTGACTAGACTCTTGATTCTCTGCATGATAAAATAAAATCTTTTTTCATTTTGATCCTTCCCTCCTGTTTCTGTGACTGTCACTGCATCTGCTCAGTTGCCAGTGCCACAAACCTATGGCTCATCCTTTTTTCTCGTGTGTCTAATCGGCCACTGATGTTTTCCCCTCCACTCCTTTATAGCTGTTCTCTTTGCTGCTCTATTTCAGGCCCTTGTCATTTCCTGCCTGACTGTCATAGTGACCTTTAAGGAGAAATGCTTTCTCTAATAAGAAAAAGTTAATATATTCCCATAATGTGAAATGTTGGAAACTTAAATGAACCTGTCTTTGCAATTCTGAGATAGAAATCACTGCTAACATCGTTGTCTCTTTTCATGTATGGTTTTTACATGTAATGGAGATAATTCTGTATGTGCATCCTTTTTTCCTTTTCTCGCGCGTGTGTATGTTTGTGTGTGTGTATAGCCTTGTATGTAAAGTTCTTTTTTCCTTTTTTTTTAAATTTTTGGTAGATCCAGCTAGAGAGTTAACGCAGGGTCTTGTTCATTCCTGACAAGTTCTCTACCACTGAGCTTCAGCCTCAGCCTGCAAATTTTAAATAATAATTTAATTTATTTAATTTTGAGCCAGGATCTCACTATGTATGTAGCCTTGGCTGTCCTAGAACTTGCTGTATAGACCAGGATGGCCTCACACTCAGAGATCTACCTAAAGATCTATTACAGAAGCTTTAAGAATAAATACATATACCAGGTGGTGGTAGCAAATGCCTTTAGTCCTAGCACTGAGGAGGCAGAGGCATGCGGGTCTCTGAGTACACAGAGAAACCGGTCTGGAAGGTGGGGAAAGAATAAACATGTACTAGCCTAGCATGGTGGTGCAAGACTGCAATCCCAGCAGGAAGATTACTGTAAGTTCAAGTTCAACAATATAATAAGCAAACAGACAAACATACCTGTAATCCCATTACTTGAGAGGCAAGAAGATTAGGTAGCATGGGCTACCTAGTTCAGGCTAGCCTTCGATACAATAATCACAAAAATAAACACGTTTCTCATAGTTCCCCAATGAGAACTATGCTTTACAGTGAAATTTATTTATTATGTACACAGTGTTCAGCCTCCATACATGCCTGCAGGCCAGAAGAGGGCACCAGACCTCATTACAGATGGTTGTGAGCCACCATGTGGTTGCTGGGAGTTGAACTCAGAACTTCTGGAAGAGCTGCCAGGGCTCTTAACCACTGAGCCATCTCTCTAGTCCTACAGTGAAATTTCTGAGGATTTGGTGATGCCTGACCCCCATTCCCAGACATTCTGATATTAATGGTTTTATTTGTGACCTGAGCATGAAGATTTTATTTAAATTGCTCAGGTTATCCAGTTACAAGAGAGTTTAGGAACCGCAGCTGTTCCCATATGTAGTCTTCAAACAACAGTGTCTGGGCCTGGGTGTTCTGTCTCGAGTTTTATTTCCTGCTGATACTTTTAACTTGTTGTTGTTGTTGTTTTTCAAGATAGGATTTCTCTGTGTAACAGTCCTGGCTCCTTGGAACTGGCTTTATAGTCCAGGCTGGCCTAAAACTCAAGTGCTGGCGTTACAGGTGTGGGCAGCACCACCACCCAGCTGATATTTTTACTTTTTATAATGTTTTTCTAATTGAAAACTGGAGTGTGAGTTCCTGAAGATGTAAATGCAAATCTCCTAGGCCCTTCTCAGAGCCAGGTGTGAGGCAGGACAGGCAGGGGAGAAGGAGATGCTCTTCCCGGGCTCCTCCCCCTTCTTCCTAGTTTCCGAATTTCTTAGACAGAAATCCAAGTAGTCTTTGAGCTCTCTCTTTACAGACAAAGAAATGACTGGAGCGCCAGTGCTCTCTTTGTTCTGTTTCTGACTTGATGAGCTGTTTTCCTCCCTAATCAGTTGAACTCATAAGGTCATCATGGTCTGTACCTTATAAATGGCAAGAGACGATCCGGTTCTCATTTGAATATTTGAATATGTTTAGTATTTTCAGAGGAAGCCAGAAGAAGGGCAGTGTTTTTAAAGTTCAGTCTTTTATATTGTTTGTCACTTGAAATTCTAAAAGGTTAAAGAATTAGTAACACTGCCCTTTTCAAGACTTAAGCACCTTTGAGTCGTATTGCTTAAAATGGAACTAGTTAGTAAAGACTAATAACTAAAAAATTCTTTTACTAGTTGAGGGGAACCAAGCTGGGTATGATGGTGTAACAAGTAATCTCAGGACTAAGGAGGCTGAGGTCAAAAAATTGCCACAAGTTTGAGGGCAGCCTGATCTGCACTGTGAGACTGTAACTATGCCCCCAAAATGAAGAAATGAAATCACATGGTTGAAGGCAACCTATTTTGAGGACAGTGTCATCTTTGGTACCATGGTTGTTCAAATGCTGAGTCCATCACGGGGCATCTGGTATCCGTTGCTCTGTTGAATATCCAATTCTGAAATGTACCTGTCTTTCTGTATCTCCTTCCAGTGGCAGCATGGAGCCCGCGTTTCACAGAGGGGACCTCCTTTTCCTAACGAACCGTGTCGAAGATCCCATACGAGTGGGGGAAATCGTCGTCTTCAGGATAGAAGGAAGAGAGATTCCTATAGTGCATCGAGTCTTGAAGATCCATGAAAAGTACATGCCCGCTTTTCATTTGTATTTTTGAAAAGTTTTGTTTTAGAGTTTGAAGTGTTTAATTTTGATACATAAAAATGACTGAAGAGTGGGGCTAGAAAGATGGCTCCACACTTGAGCACTTGTCCTCACAGAGGACCCGGGTTGGTTCTCAGCAACCACATGGTAGCTCGTAGCCATCTGTAACTTCAGTTTTGGGAAATCTGATGCCTTCTTCTGACCTCTAGAAGCACCAGGCATGTTTTTGGTGCACATTTATGTAGGCAATACACTCATCTATGTAAAACTTTTTTGTTTGTTTTTGAGACAGGGTTTCTCTGTCCTGGAACTTGCTTTGTAGACCAGGCTAGCTTTGAACTCACAGAGATCTGTCTGCCTCTGCCTCCTGAGTGCTGGGATTAAAAGCATGCATCACTGCTACCCAGCTAATAAAACTTTTTTTTTTTAGTTAATAAACAGGGCTGGAGATGTAACATGTAACTCAGTTGCTAGACTAAAGCCCTGGATTAGCTCCCCAGTGCTGCACTACAAAACCCAGGCCTTGGCATGCATGTCTGTAATCCCAGCACTTGGGAGACAGGGACAGACAAGTTCAGGGTCATTGTTGGCTTGCATAGCAAGGTGAAGGCTAGCCTGGGCTAATAAGAAAACATTATAGAGAGTAGGGAACACTTTGACCTTTACTTTCCATCCAATTTTATGAATATCTGAAAGTTTGGCTTACATTTGGAAAACTGAATAGTTATTAATTCATCTGTTTCTCTGAAGATTTTTCCAGGGGTTTTTCATGTTCTTTTTTAATTCCATGCAGGTTCCACCACATCTGGCTGGAGCATATCGGTTTCTTTGTTTGTTTGTTTTTTAAGATTTTTGAGACAGGGTTTCTCTGCGTAGCCCTGGCTGCCCTAGAACTTGCTGTGTAGAGCAGGCTGATCTTGAATTCACAGAGAACCACCTGCCTCTGCCTCCCCTAGTGCTGGGGTTGAAGGCGTGTGCCACCGCCTGGCTGGAACATATCTTATATCTTAATAGGTGTGTTGAGGGGTGGTTACCAGGGCAGAGTATTTGTTCTGCCACTAAGTAGACGATGGATTATGTGCTTTTTCAGGAAACAGTAGTGAGCTGATCCCAGGCCGGCAGGAGAAAGCCTGTGTGTTATTTCCTGACAAGCAGGTGCTTGGGAATAGCCCAGCGTTCCTCCCTCCTGGCGCTTTTCTGTCTTAACCGACTCTTCCTCCCCGTGCTCTTGACTGTCTTCTTTAATCCCCTGCGGTATCTCCGACATTCTTTCACTTACCAAATTGTCAGCTACGGTTCATTTTCTCTGTATGTGTTTGCATTGTTTCTGGCTGGAACCTCATTTTGAGTGTGGTATTTGCACTGTCCTGGGTGTTTGCAACACCTCCCGCTTTTCACCTATGGTCTTAGCATCTTGGGAGTCAGTTCCTAAGTGGATATTAGTCAGCAGAAACCTGAAGCTAAGTCTCTTTTCTATAGACTGTGATTGTTAAAGACACTTGTATTAGTTTTAGTCAGGTTTTTCGTAACTGTAAACATCATGTTTTTCTACAGCCGTGTTCATAATGCTCGCCTAAGTATTTCAGCTCCTTAATATTAGACTTCTCACTTAATCTTTCTCTAGCTAAGCAGTCCAGCTGTAAGCACTCCTCAGCCAGTTAGCGACTCGCTGTTAGGCATGATGATTACCCGGTGCTCGTTGGGAAGAACAGATTCTCTGCATTAAGGCCGTGATGGTTTTTGGTGACTTGTGTTTCCCTTACTCTGAAGGCAAAACGGGCATATCAAGTTTCTAACCAAAGGAGATAATAATGCCGTTGACGACCGAGGCCTCTATAAGCAAGGACAACACTGGCTAGAGAAGAAAGACGTTGTAGGAAGAGCGAGGGGGTGAGTACCCAGGGGAAACGTCTTTCAATGTGCTCTTACTGTGCACAACTGAACGCATAGCAGTTGGCCCTGCTTCCACCAAGTCACCTTTTGTCCTTTAAAAAACACACATCTTAAATTGCACCTAAGCCTTACGTTGTACTTATTCCTGAGGGGGGAATGGGTACAGATAAGATGAGATTGTAAGCTGGACATCACAATTACAGATGTTAGCCAGGCATGATGGTACACACCTGTAATCCCAGTTCCTGGGAAGTAGAGGCAAGAGGATTAAGAGTTCAAGACTAGACTCACTAAAAAACTTAGAGGCTAACATGGGCTACATGAGACTGTGTCTCTAAAAGTGAATCCCAGGAATATTGATGTCAGTAGTTGACCAGGTTATTGGGTCCAGTATTATTAATGCTGCTTTAAGCATTAACTTAAGTTATTAGATATTTATTGGGACAGTTTAAATTGTTCATCTAAATTAATTTTATTGTGTTAATTTATTATATACTGTTTTATTTCTAGTCTTGAAGTTGGTGAGGTCAAATGAAATTTTTAAATTATGTTAAGCCTGTTTATTTCAGATATTATCAGGAGAACAGATCAGTGGAGGACAGGACTTGTAAGTTACGGGTATAAAGAAGTATGGATTACTACTTTAATATATTAATAGTATTAACGATAACTCACCTTCATTAGAGCTTGCTATATAGCAGACACTCATTGTATGTGCCTTATTAGTATTGCTTCATTTTAACCTCCAGACGACCCTAACACTCCATTCTGCAGATGAGGAAACTCATAGTCATGTTACGTGTCTAAAATCACGCTGCTGGTGGTGGGATTAAGCGGCGGAGGCTCCAGAGCCCACTCTGAGCCCTCATAGCAGAATTGCTGGTACGGTGTCCCTCAAATGGATGGGTGCTGGTTCTTTCTAGGTGCTTCAAAGCGTTTTTACTGTTTTCGGAGCGTTGTCCTCACTAAAATAAGTCAGCTGTGCAGCAGCACCTCCCTGTACCACAGCTGTGCAGGAGTGGTGCTGAGTGGATGAGAGAGATGAAGGAATCCAGATGAGACAAGTACCGTTGTGTTGTGTTTTGTCTGCATGTGTGGACGTGCATGTGGGCGTGCGTGCTTGCGTGCGTGAATATTCAACCTCAGAGAACTTTTTTTTTTTTTTTTTTTTTTAATGAGACTGGGTTTCTTTGTATAACAGCACTATCTGTCCTGTAACTTGCTTCTTAGACCAGGCTGGCCTCAAATTTACAGAGATCCGCCTGCCTCTGCCTCCCAAGTGCTGGGATTAAAGGCTTGCACCACCACCTCCTCCCGGCCCAGCCAGTGTTCCTAACTGCTCATTAGTGTGTTTACAAATTTGCCATCATTTTCAGAGTTAGCACCTCATTCTCGGGGTAGCTCATACAGCTACTGGGTGTCCTCCTTAGAATTGGCCCCTGGCTTATGTCTTTTATTTATTTATTTTTTTGGATTTTTCGAGACAGGGTTTCTCCGTAGTTTTTGGTTCCTGTCCTGGAACTAGCTCTTGTAGTGGCTTATGTCTTGATGTTCATCGTGGACACTGTCAGAACGAGCATCTTGCTGTTAGATATATCCAGTGGTTCTACCCAGTCTTCCCACTAATAAAACTGAGCTACTGGATAAAGTATATGCACACTTTAAAGCTTTTTGACAAATTTTGCTGAACTGTTTTATGTATGCTTCTTCCATTTAAGAGTGTCTCTTTAGCTGGGAGGTGGTGTCGCACACCTATATATAATCCCAGCATTTGAGAGGCAGAGGCAGGCTGATCTCCAGCTTCAAGGCCAGCCTGGTCTGCACAGTGAGTTCCAGTACAGCCAGAGCTATACAGAAAAACCCTGTTTCAGGGAAAGAAGAAAAAAAAAAAGAGTGTCCTTTTATGTGTGTTTGGTTCTTACTGTCACAACTGTGTCTGCCTCTTCTGTCCCTTCATTGGCTAAGGATGTCTCATTGTCTAGGTTAGAGTAGTTAGGTTTTCCTTTTCTCAGGTAACGTGTCTTTCTGAAGAATTTTTTAAATTCCAAACTATATAAAGTTTAAAATAAAATATTAACTTTAACAATATAAGCCTTTCAATGGTTTAATAAAAAATTAATAATCTGAATTAGGTAACGTTTCTATGAACTATGAAACACCTGGGACATGAACAGCTGGCAGACAGGCTTCACTGTACTTTCCATCGATTATCCACCCCCCAGCTTGACACGTGTTGACGTGAGTAGCTCTCCTTGGTAGAAATTATATTTATAAAGCACGAAGCTGGAATTTCAGAGTGTGGCTGGACCTTCCTCTTGGGGGCAGAGCATTTCTGTTTTTTTTTTTATTTTTTTTTTATTTTTTATTTTGGCAGAGCATTTCTGCAGGCAAGCCTGTGACTATGCTACAAATATCTTTAGAAACAGCTAAGGTTCTGAACCAAAATGGTTTTTAACATTGTTACTGAAACAGAATTCACATATCTGGAGAGATAAGGTTCTCTATTTTAAGGAGTATAATTCACAAATTCCAGCTTCGTGCTTTATAAATATGATTTATACCAAGTTTGTACAGCCGTCACCATCACTACTACCTCATCCCAGGACATTTCTCTCCACCTCAGGTGACCCTCCACGCTCACCAGCATTCGTGCCTCATCCCCTTCCTCTGCCGCTGCTGACAGTTGCTAACCTGCTGTCTAGGGGTTGGCCTGTTGGGGTCTTTCTCATAAACAGATTCATAGCTGTAGTCTTCTGTGTTTGGCTTCTTTCATCTCTCCTAATTTTCAAGGTTAGTTCATCTTCTAGAATAAAAACTTCAGAAATGAAACTACTATTGTACCAACTAAATATTTAATAGAGATGTCTCTGGAGAACCAGGAGTTAAAAACAATCTCAGAGGACCAATTAGTCCCCGGAAGAAAGCAATGGGAGGAAAAGAAGAGAGACGGCAGAATAGAATGTGATGGTGAGGAAGGAATGAAACCAAGGAAAGGGAAACTAGCCTAGTGACGGTCAGCATCCAGACAAGGCCGTCCCAACAGAAGAGGAAGTAAAGTGCCCAGACAAAATGTCTGCACTTGAAGTTCGCCACAGCCTTTGATGGTAGAACGGAGATGCTGATTACCCTGACTGGCGTAGTGCACACTGTATACATGTATTACAATATATTAAGTGGTACCCCATAAAATGCATGTAAATGACATGTAAAGAAAAAAATAAAGCTTGTGTCCAGGTACAGTGGCACATATGTCACATGTATAATCCTAGCTACCTGGGAGCTGGGACAGGGTCCTCTAGAGGTGGAAGATGTTTCCAGCAGCACAGTGAAGCCCTGTTCTGAAAATTAAAAATATAGGGCTGAATAGTTGACTTGGTGGTTAAGAGCACTGGTTATTGTTTCAAAGGACCCAGGTTCAGTTCCCAACACCCACATGGAGGCTCACCACCTCCTTGGGCACCAGGCACACTTGCACATGCATGCAAAACACTCATACATAAAATAATTAATAAAAACAAGTCTAAAAAGTTATCTAAATAAAAAATTAAAAATATAAGAAATTAGTTTGAGGGCTGGAGAGATGGCTCAGAGGTTAAGAGCACTGACTACCCTTCCAAAGGTTCTGAGTTCAATTCCCAGCAACCACATGGTGGCTCACAACCATCTGTAATGAGATCTGGTACCCTCTTCTGGCCTGCAGACATACATGGGGCTGAACACTGTGTACATAATAAATAAATAAATCTTTAAAAAAGAAATGAGTTTGATGTGAGCTTTCTCTTGACTAAAACCAACAATTAACAATTTATATATTCTTTATAAATATACATTTTTAAACGCACTTTCTATCAGCTAGGCTTCACAGTTGTATGCCTGTCTTAACAGGATTAAAAGTTCATGGCTAGCTTGAGCTACATGAAATCTTGCCTCAGAAAAACTTACTTTTTATTTAATTTCAAGCAGGTCGTTTCAAAAACCAGCTACTCTGGGGTCATCATATAACATTTCATTAATTTGGCTTCTGAGGTACAGACCCCTTATTTGTTTGTTTGTTCATTTATTTATTTTTTAAAAATATTTATTTATTATGTATACAATATTCTGTCTGTGTGTATGTCTGCAGGCCAGAAGAGGGCACCAGACCTCATTACAGATGGTTGTGAGCCACCATGTGGTTGCAGGGAATTGAACTCAGGACCTTTGGAAGAGAAGGCAATGCTCTTAACCACTGAGCCATCTCTCCTGCCCCCTCATTTATTTATTTTTATTCATTCATTTATTTGATGGTTTCATTGTATAACCCTGGATGATATGGAACTCACTTTGTAGACCAGGCTGACCTTGAACTCCCAGAGATTACCACTTTCTGCCTCTCTGCTGGGATTAAGGGCATCCACCAAACCCAAATTTTTTTTATTAATATTTATTTTTGTAAATGTGTATGTGGTTATTTCACAACTCCAATGTGGAGGTCAGAGGACAGCCTGGGAAGTTGGTTCTTTCTTCTACTGTGTGTGTCCCAGGGTTCCAGCTCACATTGTCGGTCTTTGTGGCAGGTGCTTTATCCACTGAGCCATCTCTCCAGCCCCATGGTTTTTGTTTGTTTGTTTGTTTGTTTGCTTGTTTGAGACAGGGTGTCACAATGGAGATCTGACTGTCTTGGAACTCACTGTTTGAGTTCAAACTGACTGTTTGAGGTCAAGCTGGCCTCAAACTGAAAGCAGTCCACCTCCCTGTGTCTCCAAAGTTCTGGAATTATGTTCATCCCAACAGCCGAGAATAAGACAACTACTACAGGTTTTGAGCAATATTTGAAGCAAGATTCATTAAGTACTGGCCTGGACAATGGACACTGGCTGCGTCCATACCTAGGATGCCCAGAGGATGACACCAAATCACGTTAGTCAGAGGCTTATAAAGGCAAACCCCACAGGCTACTTATGCCCCTTCTGCCTGTGTGTGATCAGCACGTCCCATACAGTTGTTTACAGAAGTGAAAACACACGACTTGTTTTCTTACGTTCACAACAGCTCCTGGCATTCCAGGAAGCTGTCTGTCTTTCGGCAAATGCAGATTACAGTTGAAGCATTTTTTTATTATAGATCTCTTTTTTTTTAAGATTTATTTATTTATTATGAATACAATACTCTGCATGTGTACCTGCACCCCTGAAGAGGGCACCAGATCTCATTATAGATGGCTATGAGCCACCATGTGGTTGCTGGAATTGAACCCAGGACCTCCGGAAGAAGAGTCAGTGCTCTTAACCACTGAGCCATTTCTCCAGCCCTATTATAGATCTCTTAAGAACAATAATTTAAACTTAAAACATAACTTTAGCTATCAT